AAATGTTTAGCTGGTCATTATTGTGTTTTTTAGTTTTTCTTTCTTTCTTTTTTTTTTTTTTCCCTATGGCTGGTCCACTCTGCAAAAAAAAAAAAAAAAACTTAGCTGGTCATTAATGTGTTTTCATTTCTTAATTTGTTTTTTTATGACTGGTCCACTCTGCAAAATTTTTTCATTTATTTGTTTTTTTTTTTTTTTATCCCTTGCCCAAAAAAAATGTAAAAAAAAATGTTTTGGTCATTTCTTTATTTATTTATTTTTTTTTTTTTGTGACTGTCCACTCTGCAAAAAAAAATATGTTGGCTGGTCATTATTGTGTTTTTTTTTTCATATATATATATAATTACACACACACATATATATATATATATATATATTTTTATATATATTTATATATATATATATATATATATATATATATATATATGTATGTATGTATATTTAATTATATATTATTTTTTTTTTTTTTTTTTGTGACTGGTCTACTCTGCAAAAAAAAATGTTAGCTGCTCATTATTGTGTTTTTATTTCTTATATATATATTTATCATTTATTACACACACACACACATATACATACATATATATTTTTTTTTTTTTTATTTTTTTTATTTTTTTTTTTTCCCTGTGACTGGTCCACTCTGCAAAAAAAAAATGTTAGCTGATCATTATTGTGTTTTTAGTTCATATATATATATATATATATATATATATATATATATATATATATTTTTGTATATATATATATATATATATATATATATATTTATATATATATATATATATATATTTTTTTTTTTATATTTTTATATTATATATATATTTATATATATAATTATATATAATTATTTTTTTTTTTTTTTTCACTGTGACTGGTCTACTCTGCAAAAAAAAATATGTTAGCTGGTCATTATTGTGTTTTTTTAGTTCTTTCTTTCTTTTTTGTTTTTTTTTTTCTTGATGACTGGTCCACTCTGCAAAAAAAAATAAAAAAAATCTTAGCTGGTCATTAATGTGTTTTTCATTTCCTTTGTTTTTTTTTTTTTTGTTTTTCCTATCCCTCTGCAAAAAATAAAATAAAAAAAAATTTTAGCTGGTCATCTCTATTTTTTTTTTTTTTTTTTTTCTCTGTAACTGGTCCACTCTGCCAAAAAAAATGTTAGCTGGTCATTATTGTGTTTTTATTTCTTATATATATATGTATATCATTTATTACACACACACACGTATACATACATTTATATATTTTATTTTTATTTATTTATTTTTTTTTTTTCTGTGACTGGTCCACTCATAAAAGAAGAAAAAACAATGTTAGCTGGTCATTAATGTGTTTTTTCATTTCTTTTTTTTTTTTTTTTTTTTTTTCCTATGACTGGTCCACTCTGCAAAAAAAAAAAAAATGTTAGCTGGTCATTAATGTGTTTTTATTTCTTTCTTTTTTTGTTTTTTTTTTTGTTTTTTTTTTATTATGGCTGGTTTACTCTGCAAAAAAAAAAAAATGTTAGCTGGTCATTAAATGTGTTTTTATTTCTTTCTTTGTTTTTTGTTTTTTTTTTTCCCTATGGCTGGTTTTACTCTGCAAAAAAAAAAAAAAAAATTATCTGGTCATTAATGGGTTTTTTTGTTTTTTTTTTTTTTGTGTCCACATGCTGATAGCGATCTCTTGTTCTTAGTGTGTAGTGAGCGCTTTTAGTACATTACACCTTTGTGCTGTCAGTTTTGTCTCGCCATGCCGCTCGTCCAAGGTTCTGATCACAAAGCAGCTGTAGCAAATTTTTTTTTCTGTATTTTTTTTTTTTTTTTTTTTTTTTTGGGGGGTGATATAGTTTTAGATAACCAGCGCATGGATTAACCCTTTCATGACCACGGATAATTGATTTCTCAATACCCAGTAGTATAAGCGTTTTTTTTTTTTTTTTATTATTATTATTATATATACGGTATATATAATTTTTTTTTTTTTTTTTTTTTTAGGTAGCTTGAGGCCCTGGGCCTTTTTTTCCCCCTTGAGTCTAATTTTATTTTTTGACTACTTGTTTTTATTCATTGACTATTTTTTTTTTTTTATTATTTATTTGTAATTATTGACTAATTAGTTTTTATTGATGAGCACTTTTTGTTTTTCATTAACCTCAGTTCCTGGGCTTTTTTTTTTTTTTGAGTCCCAGAATAGTGTTTTGTTTTTTGTTTTTTTTTTTTTTCGGGGGTGATATAGTCCAATACTAGATACATAGAGGAACCCTTTCGTTACCACAGACAGTTGATTTCTTCATACCCATGCCAAATTAAGTAATATAAGCTTTTTTTTTTTTTTTTTTTTTTTTCTTTGAGGCCATACATATATTTTTATTTTGGTAGCTTGAGTCCCTGGGTCATTTCTCCCCCTTGAGTCTAATTTTATGTTTGACTGCTTATTTTTATTGATTTATTATTTATTTGTAATTATTGACTAATTATTGATGAGCACTTTTTTTTTTTTTTTTTTTTTCATTAACCTCAGTTCCTGGGCTTTTTCTCCTCCTTGAGTCCCAGAATATTTTTTTTTTTTTTTTTTTTTTTTTGAGCGGGGGTGATATAGTCCAATACTAGACACTTTCGTTACCACAGACAGCTGATTTCTGGATATCCTTGCCAAATTAAGTAATGTAAGCTTTTTTTTTTTTTTTTTTTTTTTTTTTTTTTTTTTGTTTGAGGTCATTTAATTTTTTTTTTTTTTTTTTTTAGCTTGAGGCCCTGGGCCTTTTTCTCCCCCTTGAGTCTAATTTTATTTTTTGACTAATTATTTATTTTTTTTTATTTCTTTGACTAATGTATTATTTTTTATTTCCATTTATCATTTTTGACTAATTTTCTATTATTAATTTTTTTTTTTTTTATTTTTTTTTTTTTTTTTTTGTTAACCTCAGTTCCTTTTTTTCTCCCCCCTTGAGTCCCATAATATATATATATTTTTTTTTTCATTTAGGTGATGTCTTGGTTCATAACATTATATCTTTTTAGATTTTGCAGTCTACCCTAACGTATTAAACGTTTTTATTTGGGGACAGATAAGGCTTTTTTGTTTGGTAGCACATTTGGATAAACTTTTTGTTTAAATTTAGTAATTTCCTTAAATTTTTGTATTAATTTTTTTTTTTTTTTTTAGGGGGGGTTGACACATTCCAATACTAGATAACAACACATAAATTAAACTTTTTTTTTTTTACCCGCGGTATTTGATTCCTGGATACACAGGCCAAATTAAGTACGATCAGCATGTGTGAGTTAACAATAACTTTATGTATTGACCGATTATTATTTATTATTAATTCGTTTGATCAATAAACACATAACTATCTTATTTTATTTTTTTAGGACATGTGCATTTTTTTTATTTATTTATTTATTTATTTATTTTATTTGTAACTTGCGTCCCTGGGCCTTTTTCTTCCCATTGAGTTTTTTTTTTTTTTTTTTTTTTTTTTTTTTTTTTTTTTTTTTGGGCAATGTCTTGGTTTTTTTTATTTTACTTTTTTTAGGTTTTGTAGTCTAAGAATTTATACATCTTTATTTGGGGACAGATTAGGCTTATTTGTAGCAATTTTTTTATTATTATTACTCTGTTGACTAATATTAACACCTAAATATTTTTGAGGATTTTTTTTTTTTTTGTAATTTGAGTACCTGGGCCTCTTTTTCCCCATTGGGTTCTAGAAAGTTTTTTTTTTTTTTTTTTTTTTTTTTTTTTTTTTTTTTTAGTTTTTTTTTTTTTTTTATTTTTTTAGGTTTTTAGTCCATCCTAATTATTATCCATCTTTTTTTTTTTATTTTTTTTAAGGCTTCAATCTGGGTACACATAGAGTTTGATTTACTAACATTGGAGAGTACAAATTCTTTTTTTTATTTGTTTTTTTTTTTTTTTTTTTGTACATTTTTTTTTTTTTTTGGTACCTTGAGTCCCTAAATCTTTTTCCCAGATTTTTTTTTTTTTTTTTTTTTCGTTTGATGTCTTGGATTTAAAACATTATATTTTTTAATTTTGTAGTCTACCCTAAGGTATTATACTTCTTTATTTGGGGATAGATTAGGCTTTTATATTTGTAGCAAATTTAGCTACACTTTTTTTTTTTTTTTGTTAATTTCCTTCGTTTTTTTTTTTTTTGTTTTTTGTTTTTTTTTTTTTTGTGATGCATTTCAATACTAGATAATTAGCACATATTAACCTTTTTGTGACCAGAGGTAATTAATTCCTAGATACCCGGTTCAAATATTTAAGCAGCATCCGCATGTTTGAGTCAATAATAACTCTATTGACTAATTTTATTTATATATTTTTTTTTTTCTTGTAATTAATGTAATTTGTGTTTTTTTTAGAAATGTTTGAGTTTATAATAACTCCATTGACTAATTTTTTTTTATTGATTTTTTTTTTTTTCTTGTAATTAATGTAATTTGTGTTGGCAAAAAAAAAATGGAAAAAAAAAATGCACTTTATTTTTAGGGTATTTTTTTTTTTTAATTATAATTATTTATTTATTTTAATTTTTTTTTTTTTTTGCCAATGCAATTTTTGTGGTATTTACCACCCCATATATTAACCCAAAAATATAATCAACAAAATTTGCTGATTTAATATATGACATACATGATTTAACGTAGTGGAATGTTAAAGCTGAATATTTGCATTTTACATTCCGATCACTTTTATTTTCCCCCCTTTTGATGCTAAATTGTGATGCGCAGGTGGGGAAAACAATGCGGGGGATGCAACTAATCAAGCGCCATCTTTGCTTGATTGGCTGCAGTGGAGGGCAGGGGCAGACATCCGGAGGACTTGACACCTGTGACGGCTAGTAGCCTCCTTGTGATGCCAAGAAATTAAAATTTAAAAAAAAAAATATTTTTTTTTATTGTATTGTTTAAAAATTAGTTTTGTTTCATTGCTGCTGTCATTTATTGTTTAATATTTAACTTTGTTTCATTCTATTATTTTCAGCCATCTTTTGCCTTTTTTTGCAGGATGAGCGCGGGTTTTTGGTGGGATCTACTGCTTACATCATTCCCTTCAGTGCCTGGTCATAGATGAAGAGTCCAAACAGTAAGTCAACTTATTTTTTATTATATATTTTTTTATTGACCTGCGATGAGTAAGTAATCTTTTATTATTATTACTGACCTGCGATGAGTAAGTAAACTTTTTTTTTTTTTTTTTTTTAATTATTATTATTATTATTGACCTGCAATGAGTAAGTAAACTTTTTTTTTTTTCATATTATTATTATTATTATTATTATTATTTTTGACCTGTGATGAGTAAGTAAACTTTTTTTTTTATTATTATTATTATTATTATTGACCTGTGATGAGTAAGTAAACTTTTTTTTTTATTATTATTATTATTGACCTGTGATGAGTAAGTAAACTTTTTTTTTTTTTATGATTATTATTATTATTGACCTGCGATGAGTAAGTAAACTTTTCTTTTTTATTGACCTGCGATGAGTAAGTCAATTTTTGTGTTCATTATTATTTTTGACCTGTGATGAGTAAGTAAACTTTTTTTTTTTTTATTAATATTGACTTGCGATGATTAAGTAAACTTTTTTAAAATTATTATTGACCTGCGGTGAGTAAGTACATTTTTTTTTTTTCATTGACCTGCGATTAGTAAGTTAACTTTTTTTTAATTATTTTTATTATTATTGACCTGCGATGAGTAAACTTTTTTTTTTTTTCTTTTTTACTGACCTCCTTTGAGTAACTAAACTTTTTTTATTAGTATTAATATTATTGACCTGCAATGAGTAAGTAAACTTTTTTTTTTTATTATTATTATTATTGACCTGCGATGAGTAAGTAAACTTTTTTTTATTATTATTATTATTATTGACCTGCTTTGAGTAACTAAATTTTTTTTATTAGTATTATTATTATTGACCTGCGATGAGTAAGTAAACTTTTGTTTATTATTATTATTATTTTTTTGACCTGCGATAAGTAAACTTTTTTTTTTTTTTTATTATTGACCTGCGATGAGTTAGTATACTTGTTTATATTATTATTATTATTATTATTGACCTGCGATGAGTAAGCAAACTTTTTTTTTTTTTTTTTTTATTGACCTGCGATGAGTAAGTAAACTTTTTTTTTTATTGACCTGCGATGAGTAAGTAAACTTTTCTTTTTTATTGACCTGCAATGAGTAAGTCAATTTTTTTTTTATTATTATTATTGACCTGTGATGAGTAAGTAAACTTTTTTTTTTTTCTATTATTATTGACCTGCAATGAGTAAGGAAATTTTTTTTTTTTTTTGTTGACCTGTGATGAGTAAATAAACTTTTTTTTTTTTTTTTCATTGTTTTTATTATTGACCTGCGATGAGTAAGTAAACTTTTTTTTTTTTTATTAATATTGACTTGCGATGATTAAGTAAACTTTTTTAAAATTATTATTGACCTGCGGTGAGTAAGTACATTTTTTTTTTTTTCATTGACCTGCGATTAGTAAGTTAACTTTTTTTTAATTATTTTTATTATTATTGACCTGCGATGAGTAAACTTTTTTTTTTTTCTTTTTTACTGACCTCCTTTGAGTAACTAAACTTTTTTTATTAGTATTAATATTATTGACCTGCAATGAGTAAGTAAACTTTTTTTTTTTTTTATTATTATTATTGACCTGCGATGAGTAAGTAAACTTTTTTTTATTATTATTATTATTATTGACCTGCTTTGAGTAACTAAATTTTTTTTATTAGTATTATTATTATTGACCTGCGATGAGTAAGTAAACTTTTGTTTATTATTTATTATTATTTTTGACCTGCGATAAGTAAACTTTTTTTTTTTTTATTATTATTGACCTGCGATGAGTTAGTATACTTGTTTATATTATTATTATTATTATTATTGACCTGCGATGAGTAAGCAAACTTTTTTTTTTTTTGTTTTTTTATTGACCTGCGATGAGTAAGTAAACTTTTCTTTTTTATTGACCTGCGATGAGTAAGTAAACTTTTCTTTTTTATTGACCTGCAATGAGTAGTAAGTCAATTTTTTTTTTTATTATTATTATTGACCTGTGATGAGTAAGTAAACTTTTTTTTTTTTTCTATTATTATTGACCTGCAATGAGTAAGGAAATTTTTTTTTTTTTTTGTTGACCTGTGATGAGTAAATAAACTTTTTTTTTTTTTTTTTCATTGTTTTTATTATTGACCTGCGATGAGTAAGTAAACTTTTTTTTTTTTTTTTATTATAATTATTTTTATTATTGACCTGCGATGAGTAAGAAATTTTTTTTTTTTATTATTATTATTGACCTGCGATGAGTAAACTTTTTTTTTTTTTTTTTTTTTTTTTTATTGACCTGCAATGTGTAAGTAAACTTTTTTTTTTTTATTATTGACCTGCGATGAGTAAGTAAACTTTTTTTTTTTTGACCTGCGATGAGCGAGCGACAGAAGCACTTCAAAGCCGATTCTTGGAAAAAAAAAAAAAAAAAAAGAGAGCAAAATAATAAACTTCAAAGGGCCTGTTGATATTAATGACATATCAACCTTGATTAAAAGTAATCTGTGTATGGGTCCCGCGCGGGAGAGAGAGAGCGGGGCCACAGTATAGAAAATAAATTAATTTCCCCCCCCCCACAATATTCCTGCAGCCTCCTGATCATCCAGCCTCGGAAGACAAATCACACGGGCTGGCGAGGGGGGGAGGGGGAGCGGCGATGAGTGATGGTAAGTTTTCCTTGTGGCCTTAGTTCGTCTAATTGATTTTCTTCGGGTGACACAAAGCCGCCTGTTATTGCGTTTTTTTAAAAATGGAGTCACCTAAGCAGCATCAGATTAATCTCGGCTGATAATGCGCGTCGCTCCGGAGAGAGAAAAGACTTTAATGAGTTTCGGGGAGATTTGTTGTCATAAAGCCGCCCCCTATCCCGCCCCGCTGAAGGTTGACTTAACCCCTTTCCTGGAGCAACGGCGACCGCCGCGATCCGCCGCGCTGGGAAAGACGGAACCCCCGATCTCGCAATAAAAACGCCCATGAAGATTCCAACTCTAGAAAACGTGTCTAGGAGGCGCGACGGATCGATTCCCGGAACGCCCCCCCGCGGCTCAGCGCTTCGGTGGGGAGTCGCGCTCCGGCGGGTTCTGACTCTCTCGGGTCGCAGACCGGGGGGGGCTCGGTCTTTGCAGAGTAGCGGAGGATTGCTGGGAAACGATCGATGGGAATCTGGAGGGGCGGAGTAACATCGTTTTTTACGCGAAAATCGGCGACGCCGCGAGAGAGAAGCTTTAAACTCTTGAAGTGTTTTTGATTGGCGTAGGCGGCTTAAAGCGCAGCTCCGCCCCAAAAGGGGAAGTTCCACTTCAGAAGGGCGGCTACAGCACGGTTGCCTGGTTCTGGGACGACATCCGTGGATGTAATTCCAGAACACGCCCCAGCGGCTGACACAGCTGACCATGGGGTACGGTAGACGGCCAATCACGGCGGACTTTTACCACGTGATCAGCCGTGTCCAATGACAGCAGACCAGGGAGTAATTACAGTTGCCGGTTATCGGCTGTCACAGCGTGAGGAAAGTACTGCTGATAACCGGCCGCCTACCTGTTTCACCCACCTGTGCCCACCAGTGCCGCCCACCTGTTTGCGCCCACCTGTGCCCATCCGTGCCGCCCACCTGTGCCAACCAGTGCCGCCCACCTGTGCCCATCAGTGCCGCCCACCTGTGCCCACCAGTGCCGCCCACCAGTGCCGCCCACCTGTGCCCATCAGTGCCGCCGACCTGTGCCCACCAGTGCCACCCACCTGTTTGTGCCCACCTGTGCCCATTCGTGCCACCCACCTGTGCCCATCAGTGCCGCCTACCTGTTCCCAGCAGTGACGCCCACCTGTGCCCAGCAGTGCCGCCCACCTGTGCCCATTAGTGCCACCCACTTCTACTCATCAGTGCCCCCACCTGTGCCCAGCAGTGCCGCCCACCTGTGCCCAGCAGTGCCGCCCACCTGTGCCCAGCAGTGCCGCCCACCTGTGCCCAGCAGTGCCCATCAGTGCCGCCCACCTGTGCCCATCAGTGCCGCCCACCTGTGCTCAGCAGTGACAGCCACCTGTGCCCAGCAGTGCTGCCCATGATTGCCACCCACCTATGCTCATCATTGCCGCCCACCTGTGTTCATCAGTGCCGCCCACCTGTGTTCATCAGTGCCGCCCACACTGTGCCCCGTCAGTGCCGCCCACCTGTGTTCATCAGTGCCGCCCACCACTGTGCCCGTCAGTGCCGCCCACCTGTGCCCGTCAGTGCCGCCCACCTGTGCCCATCCATCAGTGCCACTCAAGAAGTGGGCAGCCAAAAGTGCAAAGGACGGATGCAGATGTGGAAAATGAAGAGGTTTACGGGAATTTGTTTGAAGGAAAAGACCGGAAGTCTGGCCTGATGGGTTGATTCTCCACCACGACAATGCTCCTGCACAAGATATGTTAAGTTTTTACAGGGCTGTGGATAAGGGGGTACCATATGGGTATATGGGGCCCAGGCCATCAGGGGGGGCCCAGGCAGCTGGGTGATTCGGATGTGAGCAGGGAGGGTGATCAGCATGACAAGGAAGGATTACTAGAACCGATCCCCTGTATGGCGCTCTCTCTCCCGCTGTTAGGATGCAGCATGTAACATGTTCCCAATGCCGCAGCCGCCGCCCGATCCCGTACGGGCAAAAATGTCGCAAAAATGGGGCCAGGGATGCCAGTGACATCATCAATCTAACACGACCACGTGCCCATATTTGGCCGTTTTCAGGGAAGTCCTGTGGCCTGCTATCATGCGTTCCTTGGGGGTTGGCCCAAACCTTCACCCATCACCAGGCCGAACGCTGGATCTATTACAATTACACGAACAACCAATCCTGCGCGTGGAATACAGAACGATCAACAATGACTCAGAATGCGTTCCCAGATATGGCGATCTAGTATCAGCGCAGATGTAATGGCGAAATTGGAATTCCGTGTATAAAAATGATGGCGGCGCATTACTCAACAATTTAACGTCCAATTTTGCTACATTGTAATTCTGTCCATCGTATTCTCATGTCACTGCGCTG